GGAATAATTATACTCACATGCACTTTTTGTCCTTTTTATTTCAAGGGAGACACTTTAGTTTCGTAGACACACTTTCTTTGTTTTGCTACAAAATGTGACAAAATACCCCTCTAGACACGCTCGTGGACAAGTCAAAAACAATAATGCACGGGAACATAAAACGTAGACATGATATTGTGGACATGATGATATTTTCTGAGATTGTTACAATAACTTATCCACAAATATTGTAATTATTCCTTTTAACTACATACTTACTTATAGTAACATGTACACAAAGATAATTCATTACTAATTAGTTTTTTGTCTAATTCAGTCATCGATTGAAAATTTATTGCACCCAAAAGTATAACATCTATGTATTTTCTGATTTATTTAATAAAAGTATATCCACTTTTTTATAATAATGTATGGTTACATTGCTTCAATTCAGTTTGAACAAATGTGGCATCGTTTTCTTAAAAACTACATAATTATCTGAGATAACATGTCCATAAAAACCTACAAGAATTGCAAGAATTTACAAAATTAACAAAAATGTTAATTTTGTAAATTCTTGCAATTTTTGTTACCTAATCTTGTGGATAAGGTATTGTGTACATGTTATTATAGGTAAATATGTAGTTAAAATGAATAATTTTAACATTTGTGGATAAGTTATTTATAACAATATCAGAAACTATTATCATGTCCACAATACCATGTCCACAATAGCATGTCCACGATTACTTTCTTATTATATGTCAATTGTTTTAATCCATCACTTTATGTTCACGTGCATTATTGTTTTTGACTTGTCCACAGAAAAATTGTCCACGCGCGTGCTTAGAGAGGTATTTTGTCATATTTTGTATCAAAAACAAAGAAAGTGTGCCTAAGAAACCAAAGTGTCTCTCTTAAACAAAAAAAAAAGTGTTTTTGAGTGTAATCAACCTTTGAATACACCCCCTTAGACTTTAGGGTGTTGATAATCCTTTTCTCTTCAACTTTATTTGATTTTGAATTTATAAAGTAAATACTAGGATTGGCAAAGCCAAATTGGTGACAAACAAAATTCTAGAAATAATAGCTTTATTGATTTATTTAAAAGTATATTTTAGTTCAAAATTCTTTTACATGTACCACTACGGAAAACGTAACAATGAGAAAATATACATTAATGTTGAATTTTCAATTACAGTAAAAATTATATTCAAGTCAATCTCTTATGCACCGGCATATATGTAAGAAGAATAGTGATTCCTTGAATTTTTATCTATACATTCGTAAATTTTATTCATATGATTTTTAATATTTTAAAATGTTGTGGGCGATTAAGAACATGCAGATTGATCTACCTCAATTTTGTCAGTTTCAAACTGGACGAGACATTTTTCATTTCTATTTTTTATTCTTATTAACATTTTGTCATACTGTTAAACATAGTATTAAGAATTTTGGTAATGATTGATGGTTTCTCTGCTAGTTAGCCATTTTAAAAATTAGTCAAATATTACCATTATATGTGACCATCAGTTTTTTGTCAAATACCACCATAACCATTTTAACTTTAAATTTAAATCAGATTACCACATAACTTTTTTAAATCAGAATAATACTGATGAAAAAACTTCTTGATTTTATCTCATTTGCTTCCATTTTAAGTCAACTTAGCTACGATAATCTCTCTAATTGACATAAAGTTAAATTTGTCTCCTCC